AACTGCACGGTACGTTGGAGGAGCTCAAGCATCATTGCTATCTTCATCGTATACCTGGAGCGGTGCTTGGATCGGTACCGCAGCATGACTCGGGAGGTGTGGCGATTATCGTTGCACAGATGTCACAGATGGAGGCGGAGGAGGCGATTCGCGTCGGAAGATTGAAGCACGAGATCCTTGTCAATGGCAGGGCCCACCGCGTCATGATCAAGGCGAGAGCGAACGAGCATCGTGCTGACACCATGTCCATTGTTTACAACATCCACAATTTCGGGCTGTCGAGGGCGCAGGTGGACACGATCTCGGCCAGGATTGCAGCGGAGTCATCTGTGGCTTCCCAAAGCCCGTACAGGACGACCGTCCTCGCTGTGGGCGACTTCAACTACACGGAGACGGCGGCGATGCACCTTCATGTCCCAGAGATCGACAAAGGATTGGTCCACCCTCCTCGTCAAAGAGAGTATGGTGATATATGGGCGGCCGCCTTTGCGGGGATGACAGAACTTGACCCAGAGCTTCCCACGCACTTCATCAAAGAGGATCAACGATTAACACAACTTGATAAAGTATTTATAAGTACGCCACCTTGGGTATTGATCCAACGGTCGATTGCAGCAACAGTCGCCTATCCGCCAGAAGAGTTGTTCGCTGAAGGCATATCGGATCACTCACCGGTGCAGATCAGCTTCGCCCCCAGGGATATGAAGCCAGAGGAGGGCCAGCCTGTGCCTGCCTTCATATGCAAGCAGCCAGAGTTCAAGCACTACTTGGACTTGTTGATGAGCCACTCGGGCATACACATGATGCAGGCGGTTCCCAGGTGGGCGGAGTACAAGAGATTGCTGAGGGAGGCTGCCCGTCTGACCCGTAACAAGCTTGTGAGCATGCGCACGCCGCCGTTGGAGGCGAAGCTAATTCTTTCTCTTTCCATTGCACGCGCAGTCCACTTCCACGATGTCAGGCTTGCCCGCGCGTTGTTAGCGTCAGGCCCCTTTCCAGCTGAGTTGTTGTCGGTTTCGTCGGAGCAGGTAGTGTCTCTTGTGTGGCCCATGGACTTCCGTAGGAAATATGAAGCGTTGCAGCAGGAGATCTCTGAGGACAGAGTTCGCAGGTCGGAGACCCAGGCGAAATATTCACCCTGCTGGGCTGAGAAGAAGCGCTTGCGTGCCTATGCACGGGCGGAGAGGCGCAGGGGGAAACTATGGGTTCCGAAGGGCAAGATTCTTCCCCTCCAGGGCCTTCTCGCTCCTGACGGTTCGGTTGTCACTTCCCCCTCGGCCATGGTCACGTCTCTTCGGAACCGCTGGGGCACCGTTTTTGCGCCCCGCCCTGTCTCGCAATGCCATCTCAAGGCCTATCTCGACAAGCATGTTAAGCGGTTCGATGTTTCGGATGTGGCCCCGCCCACAGTATCTTGTATTGCCAGGGTAATTAAACGGGCTAGACCGACGGCCCTTGGGCCAGATGGGCTTCCCTATGCTGCGTGGCAGCAGAGTCCGATGTCGCAGGAAATTGTGCACGGGCTCTTGATAGAGCTATTGAGCGGCTATCCCCCTCCCACTTCTTTGAACGACCTCCCCCTGATCTTTGCCCCCAAGGGTAGACGGGGGCAGGGTGCGTCCTTTGTGCTGCGTGAGCCACAAGATACGAGACCCTTGGCGCTGAAGGTCTCAGATGTGAAAATCTTGGCCTCGGCATGTAATGAGCGGGTGAAGAGACAGGTTGCGCAACAGGCTCACCCTGACCAGCGTGGATTTCTAGTGAAGAGAAATTTCTTGGACACTATAACATTGCTCGACAAATCTGCACGTATAGCCAGCATGCACCCAGAAGCCAGTTCACGTCTCCCCTGTCTCCTCTTCCTCGACTTCGGTAGTGCCTTCCCCTCCCTCCCCCACTCTTTCCTCTGGGCTGTGCTCGAGCGATGTGGATACCCGCTCGGACTCTTGCAGTTTGCCCAAGCCACATGCCTTCGCGATGTCTCGGACGGCGGTGCTAGGACAGTTGTGGACATGTTGCACGATCATGTCCGGCGCGATGCAAGGAGACCCTGCCTCAGGTACGTTGTGGGCCCTAGCGATGGATCCTTTCTTGAGGGACATGCGTTCCAGGCTTCGTAAACATCCAGGGTGCGAAATCGGAGTCTGCGCGGATGATATCGGTGCGACGGTGGCTGAATTGCAGGCCCTATCTAAGCTTTCAGGTGTTTTCTACGCCGCGGATTTTCTAGCTGGCCTTGCTCTCAAGATCCCCAAATGTCGCCTTGCCCCCGTCTCTGAGGCCTTCTCCCCCTCCCTTCACTCGCAAGTCCAGGAGCGATTGGCCAAGCTAGTACCGCGATGGCGTTCGATCCCAATTGTAGATGCTGCCGGATATTTAGGCGTCTGGTCTGGCCCTGCGGCGGCGAGACATGCCTGGGCGAGGGCGTTTCGGGAGTGGGTGGGTGTTGTCAGGAGTGTCGCAGAGACCACGGCGCCGCCGTCGGTAGCCCTGTACATGTACAATTCGCGAGCTGTTTCGAAATTCAGTTATTTGGCGCAACCGAGCCCGCTGCCTAGAGCTATAGCGAAGTGGGGGTCTTGGGCATTGCATACGATATTGCATATTCCGCCGTTTTCGGTCCCGCTGGATCAATTGCTTGCATTGCGTCATTGGTCGAAGTTGAGGCCTCTGTCCCTTCAGGCCCAGTCGGTGGCTGCTATGATTCGAACTGCCAGGTGCGTCACGAACTGGAGACCGCTTTGGGCCAGGCTTCAGCAAGTCGCCGAGTCGGCCTTCCCGCTGACTACGTGGCTGGCTGATGTCTGGTCGCCTGCGCACTGGCAGTCGCCTCCGTGCGTCCAGGAGCTGGCGAGAGCGGACCGAGGGTTCTTTGGGGCGGCCCCCCTGAGGTCGGCGGTCGCGGCGGCCCTCCGTGCTCTCGACGAGGCGCAGCGGGTGGGCCCACGTGCCCCTGTGCAACGCACTCTCGCCAGATCCTTGGCCATCTCTCTTTTCGTAGAAGATTTTGCCCCCGTCATTTGGAGGCGCCTGGCCAAGTGGGCGTCTCGGACCCCATCCCGTCGGGCTCGTGCTGGGGTGAGCTGGCCCGCGCTTCGAGAGCGCGTGGCCAGCTTCCCTCCTGCGCGGCAAAGTTCGGTCATAAAAACTCTGGTGGGTGGGTGGGCGACTGAGCGGAGGATGACGCAGACCGACTGCCGTTGCAAATTCGGCTGCACGGATGCGCTGGACGCGCAAGCTCACTACATGTCGCGCCCGTTTCTGTGGGGGGCGGTGCTCTCTGTGTGGTGGCCCCAAGAGCCTATTGAAGTGTTCCTCGATCGGCGCCTCGGTCTCGCTCGAGAAATGTCGGAACCCCAGAGACTGAGAGCGCTCGAGCGGATTATTATAGCGTTTTATCTGTACAATTCGGCTCGTCGGTTCAATGGCATCGACGAGGAGTCCTTACATCAGTGTGCTCGAGCTGCGAGATCACGACGATTCCTGCAGCAAGCCGAGCCTAGCGAGGACTAGGGTGGTTGAACTCATTCCGAGGCTACGTCTGAGGAGAAAGAGGAGGAGGAGAAGGAGGAGGAGGCGGAATCGTACTTTTCCTTGCTTGCATGCATCTCGTCGAGGCAGGGACACGCACTCTTCAAAACATCGCCGGGCCAGGGGGGGTGGGGGGCGCCGCGCCTGGTCGCCCTGGGGCTCACGCGACGGGGGCCAGTAAACGGTGGTCAGCGTCAGCCGGAGCGCCAGCTCTTGAAGGATCTTGGAGATCCAGAACTGCACTGACCCGGCCTGGAGCGCAGGATCCTGCAGGATCCTGCCAATCGCGGGGCCAGCGATAGGGGGGGATAGGGTTATGGGGGGGGATGCATCGACCCCCCCATCGCCCGTTGATCGCCGATGGGGGCCCGATGGCCCAAACTTGCCCAGGAACGTGCGAATTCGCGATCGGGTCCTCTCGCCGATCTATCGGCGATGTAACGCCCATTCTAGGTCGATGTTTCCCTTGTAATTCGGTTATCCCCCCCCATCGTTGCCCCCGTGACACGGGTCAGTAGAAGCCCCCTCGCCTTCCAGCCGCGTCATCACGCCGGTGATCCATCGGTGGTGCAGCCTTCCGAGAGCACCCTTTCAGGGGTCGGGGAAACGTAAGATTCGAGTGCGCCGCAACTCGGGTCTGCCGACGCTTTTTGACGAGCGCGTTTTGGATTTTGACGGTCCAGTGTTCGTGGGATGTTTGCAGCGGGAGCTCGCGTCAAACGTGAGACTGGGTCGCGGCATTGTCAGGAGGGCCCAGCAGGGCCAACCCGAGTCTCCCTGACCTGAGTCTCACGTTTCCCCGAAATGGGGGAGGAGAACTCGGCGCTGCGCGGCTGTAGGCCGGCGCTCGCCTGCGCGGCTTCAGGCCGGGGCTTGAGGGCACTCCCGCACACTGCAGTGGGGTCGCGCAGGATGTGCAGCGACACAGCTGGTCGTTGAGTTGTTGAAGAGTCTTCGATCACACATCATCTTGATATTGTTGGGGATTGGTCTCCCCACTTCGTGAGGGGGAGGAGGGCTCGACGCTCGAGGCTCGAGGCTCCACGGTTTCGCGCGTGCTCTTCGGCCCCCCGCGGCGTGCCCGCCCTTGTCTGCGCCCTGCGCGGACCTGCCGCGGAGCCCCCGGCTGGCCCGGGCTGGCGCCGAGCCAGGGCAGCGCGGGAGAGCTTGCGGTCGAGGAGCGGGTCATGCCTGGCCTTGGGTCGGGCGAGTTCCTCTACAGGAGGAATCTTCAAACATAGTCAAAAAAAGTATGGGGACGTTTTTTTGGTTGGAGAATGATTTGATTATTTGTTTGACTACTGTTATCTTCCGTCCAAAATCCGCCTGTAGGAGGACGCGCCCGAACTAAGCCTCGCCTGCTCCTGGATTGCCTTTCGGGAGGGCAGCTTTTCTTTGTTCTCGTGGTTGGTGCTGTAAGACTCCTCCTCCTCCTCCTCCTCCTCGCCTCCTCGCTTCCTCTCCGCCAGGTCCTCGGCAGGTACCCTGACTGCCCCGCCGATGCGCTGAAGCCGCCCGTGGCGGCCAAGCACTGGCAGGAGTCGGACTTCGAGATCTTCGTGGCGAGCGGGAATGAAGGGAGGAGGGAGGGCTGGTCAAGACGCAGAGCTGGAGAGATCCAAGGGCAGCGTTGTGAGGCGGAGGAGGCGGAGGAGGAGGAGGAGGAGGAGGAGGAGGAGGAGGGGGAGGGGGAGGGGGAGGGGGAGGGTGTGAAGCGGAGGCTTCACACAGCACACCTTTCTCACGTCGGCGCTCCCCACGAGGCCGATCTCCACGGGCGCCCAGCTGGCGCCACCAAAGCACTGCGCACGAGCACGGTAGGTGGTAGTAGTGGTAAGTATTGGGCTCTGATAAGGAATGGACTAGGAGAGAAGGCGGGGCCTCTCGAGGGCCCGGGACTCCTGTGGTCCCACAATGAAGGCCTGCAGCCAAATGGCTATGGTTGGAGCGAACTGTGCAACATCTGCCTCGGAGACGCGAGGTTCCATATATGGGATGGAACCCTCTCGGGGCGAGCGACACCGATCCTAAAATATCTTCGCTCCAAATCATAGCTTGAAACGGACGGGCACACTAAACTACAGGCTCGACTTATGGTCTGCATCACCCCAGAGGTCCGGTCGGAAACCTAAAGTTTGAACACTCTCTAAAGCTGAAATTCCGAGACCCTTGCGTCTCTTGGCCGACTCAAACATTTGGTCATACACGAGGCGCCACCGGCACCCATTGCTGAAACATGTATCAAGCTGCCACTTTTCGAGGCCCTTGGTAAGACTGTTGGCTAACATTGCGTCGCTATGCACTCACCTAACAGGACACTCACACGCTTCAATACCGTTCCTCGAAGCTAAAAGCTCCAAACCTGTTCTGAACTCTTTACCGCCCATGAGTTTCTCTGGGCACCGAAGTCTGTCGTACAAATTCTTTGAGTCCGTGATCAAAACTCCAGGAACGCGTCGAACTTGGGCCCAGGGATTTCGAAGGTCTGGCTTCCAGCCGGACAACTCAGAAAGCAGGAACCTCACGTAGGTCACCTCGTCCTCAGTGTTCACCGTCGCTGAAACTTCTGCTGCCAGAGGAGACCTGCGCGTCCGTTCAACCCTGCCTGATCTCCAACTCATCAACGAAACACCTGTCTCCTGGCCATCCAAAAACGACGCCGGAACAACTCCTATAATCCTACCTTCGGTGGACTTCCCGTCTATCCTGTTCGCAAACGCGGCATCACCCCATCCGACGACCGCCAGCTCTTGGGACTCCTCGAACGCGAAAATCTCCAGGGTCCGATCTCGGGCCTCCTTGGCCCTCTTGATAAGTTTGTTGACCTTCAACAGGTCCTCTACTGTGCACGATTCTGTTTTGCTCTGCAGTAAACTCAACTCCGCCAGGATATCCGGACCCGTCTGAGTCCCTTCCCACTGTAGGCTCCCAGTGGCTGCCCTGAACTGACTCTTCTCAGCCGTGGTGACCGGAGACGACACCTGACCACGACGGTCTGGGAGAACCTCGATCTCCTCGATCTGTTCCAAATACGTTTTCTGGCTGAGACTGAAACTGAAATCTGGCCGTTGGGTGATGTCCACACCACACTGCGTGAAAGAACCGTACTCCCACTCTGTCCAGCGAAATGCATCCATAATCTGTTACTTCGCCTTCGTCCACTGGTGGTCGTGATCGCGCCCGGCAAACAAGAAATTATCCACATGAGATAAAGCCATGCCAGCGATTCTCGATGGACCTTCTTCCCGTCCAGGAGCTGTCAGAATCCATACACACGGGTCTGCCTCCAGTTGTGTCCAGCCCAGCTCCTGCAGCGTCTTATTCACCGCCTTGTGCCATGCCCGGGGAGCCTGAACCAAACCGTACGCAGACTTCTTCAGAATAGCCACCTGCCCAGGACGCAGACCCAAGTACTCTGCAATGTCCCCGGTCGGCTTCACAAAGAGGTCCCTGTCCAGCTCCTCACCCTAAAGGAACGCGGACTTCACGTCGCCCTTGGCCACTCGCATCCTCAAGTGGGCCGCCTTCTGGAGGAAAACTTGTCTGGCCGTCCTCGTGGCGGTCGGTGCATACGACTCCTCCGTTGTCAGATCGGGGTCCTGGAATCCCAAGATGACCAACCTGGCTTTGGCCTTGCGTCCTCCGGGCTCCGTCGGGTCGATCTTCCACGTCAGCACCCAGCGCAGTCGCATCAACCTGTCCATCGGTGCCTTCACGTGTGGCGGAAGAGCCTCGAGCACCATCTCCTTGATCCACTCCTGGGCTTCTTTGCTCTTCGCCTTCTTGAATTCTCAAAATCCTCCCGAGACAAAGTCCGCTCCTTCACTTCAGCTCGCTGACGTCGGAGCTGCGTCGCCACGAAAGCTCCAAGATCTCGAGCCGCGTATCCTCCTTTGGCGCCACTCGGCATGCTGATCTCGATCTCGATGGCACTGTCCGCCTGGTTCCAGAAACACTCCTGGTCGGTCTCCTCTGTGCCCAACGCCTCCTGCTCCTTGCTGTCATGTCGCTTCTGTCTGTCCGTCTTTTCCTTCCCGTACTTGAGGTCACCTCCATCTGGCCGAGGAAGTCCATCCCAGGCATACGGTGATGCTCTCGTGGAAGGCGTCCTGGAATTGTTTGGTGGGCGTGCCGGTGTTGCTGGGAACGTTCTCTCCATCGTCGGGGCTGTCGAGCTTGCTGGAGTTCCCGTCGAAATGCCTGGTGTCGGAGATGTCGTCCGTAAAACCTTGACGCGCTCCCCGTGTTGCTCTGGACTTCGCTTTCCACGCAGACGTAGTCGGGGTATAACTTCAGCTTCTTCGACTGTGGGTAGTGGGGGTACAGTCGCAGCTTCTACATAGTCCTTGTCGCTCGGGACCAGCTTCGGATCGTCTGCGAGATCTTCGTACTGACCCGTCTTCAGACTGCCCGTCATGTTACTGAATGTCCAGGGTAACTCCGTGCCGTGGATAATCTCATGCTCTGCAATTTCCCGATCCGAAGCGTCCCTGAGCTGACATGGATCACAGCGTATCAGTCGCCCGCAGGCGTTGAGCCACACTCTAGGTCGGGGTTGCACACTACCATTGCGATGAACAGTCTCCGTCGCGAGCACTCGTGCTGGTCCGTAAAACCTGCCCGTCATGGAGCTGCTCTTCGGATGACGAAAGTAGTAGCCCAGCGTCCCAGGAGTATATACCTTCAGCTTCCGTGACCTGGCGTTAACCGCTCTGCGAGCCCGCTCACCGTAGATCCACTTCAGCAACGCCTCCTGAGCTTTCCGCATGAACTCGAAATTGTTCCCGAACTCGGCGTCGACCGCCTCCGACTCTAGAGCCGGAAGATTGACTGGATCTCCTGGCACCTCAATGAACGACCCGTCTAGATCAGGAGCTCGCCCTAGAGCAACCTGGAGCGGGGAGAAGCCCCGATGGCGGTCGAACTCATTGTACGCTGCCATGGACCTCGCCAGATATTCCTCGCAGGTCCGTCCCGGATGTTCCTTCGCCAGAGTCATCATGGTATCCTTGATCATCCCGATGAGTCTCTCGATGCCGCCGATCTGCCAATGAGCCTGACCCGGAATAGGATCCATCTGTATCCCGCTGCTTTCCAGATTTTCTCTGATGACATTGCTCATCCAGGCTCCCTCGGGGTCGACCTGAAATACTCTCGGCCGGCCAAAATAAGAAATCCACCGACTCCAGATCCAGACTGAGTTCTTCAGATCTTCTGCTGTCGCATTTCGGCTCTTCTCCATCTTGAACAACATGTGTCCCACGCCAAGTCGACTGCCCATATCCAGGTATAGGACCAGCTTGAACTTCTCGTGAGTCACCGGGCACTCCCACTCAGCGAGGTCGCTCTGCAGGACGGCCCACTTCTTTCGAACTTCGTCAGCCGATCCCACTGGCCGGGGTGGTCCATTTTTCTGGCTCTCGTCGCAGGCAGCACACCGCATGCTCTTGACGTGGTCGACAATGCGCTTGTCGGCTCCCTTCGCCGCCAGTGACTTCGCCACCTGAGAAAATGGGCAGTGACCACAAGCTGAGTGGATCCGCCTTGCCGCAATCTCGATTTTGTTCATTGTCTCTCTGTCAATGTCCTGCTCCGACTTGGCCAAACCGAAACTCATCTCGAAGTCCAGCTCAGCCTGCTCTGACTCGACATACCCGTTTATCTCCTTCAGATTCGGCTTCACCAGCATGGCTCGAACTGCCCTTCTGACAAACTCGTCGGGGTAGCATGCCGTCGCAGCGGTACGATGGCCGCCCACGCACGGGGAATGATCATGCTTCCCGTCACATCTGATAGCCATCCGCTGTCGTAGCCTGTCGGATGTGGTCCATGTCTCCCACGGCTTCTGAATAGCCAGACCGGTATCTCTCGCCTTGACACCAACCATACAGCCGTCACAGATAGCCGGCTGCATATCACACTCCCTGAACACCTGCCTGAGTTCCGGCCATCGGTACGGTGAGAGACCTTTCGGCCATTCCCAGTGTACATGCCCTTGGTTTGCCACTTGATCCATGACAAGAATAAGACAGTTCCTGATGATCTTCTTGGATTTCTTACGGTTTTGCAGAACCTGGGCCCAGACATCAGGTCTGTGATAATTGAAATTCTGATTGCCACTCCATGGCCCACAAGGAAGGGAGAACCACATGTGTAGAGGTCGTACTCGATTGCGTTCAGTGCGTGCCTTCTGTAAACCTGCAGTGGTGGAAAGATCGAAACCATTCCACCCACTAATTCGTAATGCACTGTCCGTCCCTGACTCCTGCTGCATATATGTGGTAAGGCCCGACGCTGGTGAGCAGCAAACCTCCCTTAGCTTGGTGCGAGCAGTGTCCGTCAGAAACGTCCTGGCTGGCATCACACTCTTATCCAGGCACCCCGCCAGCCAGGTAGCCTGAGAGTCCGTGATATTCTTCAGCGGCCCTTGCCGCCCGGCCCAGGTGGGCCTGGAGTCGAGGATGAGGCCTCTTCGACCTTCTGAACCCTCGACGTCAGCGCGTGCATCTGGTTCTTCATGTCCCCAAAGAGGTCGATGATCTGGTCCTCCTTCGCCTTGACGTCCTCCATCTTCACCGGCTCCTCCGCGCTCAGTCGCTTCGTCGTCGGACGCGTCCGCATCGTCGACTTGTTCTCCTCCCTGATCACCAGCCACGGTCCTTCCTGCTTCTCGTACTTCTCGCCTTTGACCTCTGGCACCGGTAGCTCGAACCTGCCGACATTCATCATGTCCTCCTCCTTGACCCCTTGTGAGGTCAGCCAGTTCGTGAGCTTGTGAAAACGCCTGTCCTTGAGGCTCACCGACCATCCCGCATACTCCTTCTCCTTCACGAGAAGCTCCTGGAAGGTGAGTCCTCGATGGCGCCCGAAAGGAACCACATCGGTCGCCGCTCCGAGCTTCGGTCGCGACTCGAACTTCTCGACGATCATGATCTGCAGGTCGCCCCTCGTCTCCTGCCCGCTCAGAGCATATCCGAGGTCCCGAGCCGTGGCCATCAGCTCGTCCTTCTTCTTGTGCCTCGGCGGTGGTTTGCCGTTCATGTCCATGGCCTGATAGATCTGCCGGATGCGGGCTCGAAGCATCTCTACCGTCATGTGCTTGCCGTCCTCGTCCCACTGGCATATCTCCTGCAGGAGGTCTGCCTTCCGCATCAAGGACGTGTGCGGGCACTGAGACATCCCGTGGAATATGGGTCTTAAGGAGATCTAACCTCTGAGGCGTAAACTCTCGAGCCTGATGGTTGCGGTCGAACATCTTGTTAGACCATGTCGGATTCAAACTTGATTCTTCAGAGGGATCGGGTCCTCGCGAGGTCTTTGGGCATTCATCTGGCCTCCTCGGGGCCTCTGCTTCTTGGAAGCCCTTGGTTTCACCGTGTTCTGGAGCCTGCTCTTGTCGATCATCGTTACACTCTTCCAGGCCCAGGATGCCCTCCATATTCTGATAAACTTCGGGGGCTGACGTTAACCTCCGAGAAGGCGGGGAACTTACCTGGCTAGACCTAGATGCCCTCTGGAATCCCGCAGATGTCTTCGAGAAACCCGAGGGTGATCTGCTTGAGCATGTGGTCGTCGTACAGGTCCCAGTGGGCCTTCTCGGAGCCCCGCTGGAGGTCCCTTGAGGCCCTGAGACCCCCAAAGCCGAGGACGTCGCGCAACTCGACGCCAGTGGAAACGCTTTCTCCTCTACACCATCTGCTGTCTCTGAATGATGTGGCCGACGATACTGCGATGGAGATGATGAGACGATACATGGCGCTACGGCTGGCGCCACTCCCACAGTGTCTGCCGACGCCTCCACATGCGCATGGTCTGCAAGGGCTGCCACGCCCCGGCTCAGGATGCAATCCGCCGGCCTTGGACTCGAGAGTCCCTCGCCCAGCAAGTCGCACGTCAAGTCGATCAGGAGGTGGCCAGTGCGTGACCTCGGGAAAGAGATCATCTTGGTGTTCTCGATGCGCCTGAATATGCCGACACTCGCCTCGAAGTCGATCACCGCTCCGAGGCTGTTCAAAGTCTCGATGGACACCAGAATAGGGATCCTTGGAGCCTCCACCGCGTGGACCATGAAACACACCATGGTGCCGCGCACAAGCAGGGAGAACTTCACCTTGCACAGGACCTGCTTGACCTCGCCGTTGCCAAACTTGAAGACCGGGCGATCATTCAGGTCGATCTCCATCGGGGGGTGTCCCCTTTCCACGAGGATTCCTTTCAAGTTCTCAATCGCTTCGATCCCGCCGATGGTCTTCGTGGCGCCGCTGTCTATGATGCCGTGGCCCGACTCCGTCGTCCGCGAGACGATGTACGCCATCTTAATCTCAGGGTCATCCAAGTCCACGCTGTTGTTCAGGACCTCTTCGCCGTCGTCGGTCATGGTCGCCGCCATCAGCACCAATCCGTTGAACATGTCCCCTCCAGGCTGACCGCCTCTTGGACCTCTTTGACGGCTTCCGGCGAGGCGACCGTCGCCACGATCTGGACATGCTCTTATGCGATGACCACCTCCGCACTTGATGCAAGGCCCCTGACGTCCATCCGTCCTGGAGCCCTGACCGTTGTTGTTGAAGAATTGGCGGCCGGTGCGATGCTTGTTGATCTGCTGCCTGGCGTCCTGGAGACGCTTCTGGCTGGCCTGGAACTGGGCGAAAGCCTCTTCCTCCTCGTCGATAGCAGTCGCGAAAGCTTCGTCATCGCCTTCATCGTCGCCTTCCTCCTTGACGTTGTTCAGCACTGCTGAGGCCATGACAGACTCTGTGTCGTCGTCAACGTTCCAGGTCTGTGCGTCCTCGCCATAGAAAGCCGCGGCAGCCACCTGCTGCCAGATGAACTTCGACTTCCTGTAATCTCGCTCTTTCAGATTCTCATCACTCAGCCACTGAGTCCGCAGCGCCGACTCGACACTCTCCACAGTGAAGTCACCCCGACACGAGCCGATGACTGCTGCGATCTCGCCGCCGTCGAGGCCCGCGCGGTGCAAAATATACCATCCTCTGACAATGCTGGGCAGCACCTCGGGTAGGTCCTGCGTCGGGAACGTGCACGCGCTCTGATCATCCTGATCACGCCTGCCCCACTGATGCTGCCACCAACCACCGCTGGTCCAGCCATGACGATGCCACCGGCCGTGATCCTCATCTCCCGGCACTTTCCAGTCTTGGACTTCCTCAGCTTCCTGGTCGTCGGCGGTACCCTCTTCGCCGCCGGGAACACGATACCACGAAGCTGTCCCCGAGTCCTCTGGCCACTTGCCGAAGGATGAGATAGTCGCTGGAGTCTGCATCGTCTCCGTCTTGCCTATCATCCGGGCGAGCGCCACCCGCAGCCGCTGATAGCACTCATGGACCCTCAGGCAGTACTCGGCCATACCCTCGCCGCGCTTACGCCTGAGCTTCACGAAGTATTCTTCCATATAGTGACCGACGTCCTCCACTGGCTGTCTCATCACATTCTTCTGCAGGTACTCCAGTAGCCTGTCCGCACGCCAGTTGTTTGACAGCCATCCTCTCGGCCTGCCGATGCGGGCCGTCGCCGCCGGTCCTGACAGGCGCGCGACCAACCTGGGGCCGCATAGGTACCTGTCCTCCCACTTCGTGCCGTCCACGTAGTTCATGACATCCTGCTGGTACCGTTCCCAGGTTCCAGCGCTGCCATTCCATGTCGGAATCCTGGCTTGTCCACCAGTCTCCATGGAGCAGAAACCTGCTCCGCTACCATGTGAAGCGGAGGCTTCACACAGCACACCTTTCTCACGTCGCCGCTCCCCACGAGGCCGATCTCCACGGGCGCCCAGCTGGCGCCACCAAAGCACTGCGCACGAGCACGGTAGGTGGTAGTAGTGGTAAGTATTGGGCTCTGATAAGGAATGGAGTAGGAGAGAAGGCGGGGCCTCTCGAGGGCCCGGGACTCCTGTGGTCCCACAATGAAGGCCTGCAGCCAAATGGCTATGGTTGGAGCGAACTGTGCAACATCTGCCTCGGAGACGCGAGGTTCCATATCTGGGATGGAGCCCTCTCGGGGCGATCGACAGAGGGGGAGGGAGGGAGGGAGGGAGGGAGGGAGGGAGGGAGGGAGGAGGACGAGGAGGACGAGGAGGACGAGGAGGAGGAGGAGGAGGAGGAAGAGGAAGAGGAGGAGGAGGAGGAGGAGGAGGAGGAGGAGGAGGATACTTACTATATCCGTGCCGAACGCTGACAAGCGGAGTGAGTGCCGAAGGCCCCCCGACCGTAGGGTGCATCGTTTGTTTGTGTGTGTGCGTGCGTGTGAATGTGCGTGATGCAGCAGTTCTTGTTTGTTTGTTTGCCCAATGTTCCGCCTCGTGTTGTATCTTTCCTCCATCGTCCTTGTCATTATCGCTGCTTTTCTCTGCCTTCAAATTCGACTCCCCTCTGTGGCGGGGTACATGATGCTGTGGCCTTGCAGCAAATGGGCATGCTGTTGTCCGGGGGAACCCACGCGATATAGCCTGGCCGAATTTTCGTTCGTGGCAGCCTCAAGACAAGTAGGCATGCTATGATGTATTGCTATGTGGTGGCGGCCTACGACTTGATTGTTGACGCTTCGTTTCTCCCCACCAGTCCATCCAGAAACGATGCCCAGGCGCGTTGCCTTGATCAGGGAAGCGTAGCAGCATGCAGTGGGAGCCGTCAAGCCGAAGTTCAGGCGTAACTTGACATCTTGAACTCTCTTGGACCATCCTGGAGCTATCCTGATGCATGCGGCAAGACCGTCCACCGTTCTTGTGGCAAAGCGCAGCAGGAATGAGAGCGTGTGTAGGAACAACGCAATTCGGATGACTGGTCTGAACTAGCAGGGTTCGTGAACTCGTCATCGTCTTCGTCGGCGCGGCAGGGAGGATGTGGAGTTCACGCCTCGCTGAGGCTTGTCGTGAACTCGATCTCGTCTTCGTCAGCGCGACAACGAAAAGGAGGAAGCTGGTGATGACGATGAGTTGGAGGAGGAGGAGGAGGAAGAGGAGGAGGAGGAGGATCTGCTTGACTCAAGATGGGGTCCAGCCGAAAGGGGGTTGTGCTATATATATATATATATGTATATATATATATGGTTCGATCGACTTGTGGTGTTTAGTAGATTTTGGGCGTGCAGTACATTCCGGTGCGCGAATGTATTGCTGGATTTTCGCGTGCAACACATTAGGTGCAACACATTGCAACACATGTCTCCGTCGTAATACATTTAGAAACCAATTGCCCCAAACCGATTGCACCACCCCCTTCCAGCTGGACTCCCTTTTGGGTCAACTAAAGAGGAGGAGGAGGAGGAGGAGGAGGAGGAGGAGGAGGAGGAGGAGGAGGAGGACGAGGAGGAGGAGGAGGAGGAGAGTGAGAAATTGAGGACGAGGAGGATACAGTATTTTGAGGCTTTCTTGGGGCTTCCCGGGTTAGCATGGGGACCTCCTGAAGGTCTTGGGTCACAAGTTTCGTACGGGGTGTGCCGCAGTGAAGCTCCATTGCGCCTCTCTCGGCGCCAACTGAGCGCCTCTGGACGTCCAGCAAGGACCCGCATATGGGCGGAGGCGGAGCGGAAGGAGGAGGAGGAGGAGGAGGAGGAGGAGGAGGAGGAGGAGGCGGAAGAGGAGGAGGAGGAGGAGAAGGAGGAGGAGGAGGAGGAAGAGGAGGAGGAGGAGGGGGAGGAGGAGGGGGAGGTCAGCGGAGGGAGGAAAACGAGCACGGGAAAGATGTAACGGACGGCACACTTTGAGGAGGCAGTTTGGGGGGGGCGATACGGGTTAACTCAGAGCTTTCTCGGGGTTCCTGGGGACGTTGGAGGGGGTGGGCGGGGTGGTGGATGGGTGGGGGGCCTCGGGGGAAGGGGGCGGGAGGGGAGGGGAGGGGGGGAGGGGTGTCGGAGGTGGGGGTGGAGGAGGTGAGCAGGAGGGGGTGGAGGGGGCGGTGGAGGGGGCGGTGGAGGGGTGGGGTGGAGGGGGAGGAGGAGGGGGTGGTGGAGGCGAGTGGTGGAGGGGGAGGGTGGAGGGGGAGTGGAGGGGTTGGTGGAGGGGGTGCCAGACTCCAGTGGAGAGGGTAAGAAGAGGGGTTTGATTAGAAAACTGGAAGAGGAAACGCCCTAAATTACCTAAGCCCAGAGGGTTGGTGGGATTGTATTTGTGGGGTTTTGCCCGTGCGTGGGGGAGGGTAGACGGGCGGGAAGGATTGGACACGCAGAATTGGGAGATGCCCGGCGCGCCGTCTGGTCCGTCGGTGCGAGTCCTGGCGTCTGTCTTTCTCTTCCTCTGCGTCACCTCGTGTGGCGACGCAGCGGCGGCCCGCCTGCAGGCAAGCATGGGCGCCATCGTCCCTCAGAGGTCCCCGAAGAAGTCGGCGGACAAGGTGTCGGCCCCCACGGCCGAGGCGGCTGGCAAGGCGTCCTCCGCGCCGTCTGCACGGTGACGACGACGACGCCGACGTGTGGCAACGCAGTGGCGGCCCGCCTGCAGGCGACCACTTAAACCACGCCGACGTGGCCGATGCATCGCCGACGCCGCCGATGCATCGGTGATGCACCGGCGATGCACTGGTGATGCGCCGCGATCCGCTGACCCCATCTACTCGGACCCCACCTGGGAGGCCTCTATTTCTCGGATCCGCGCCGAATCCCCCTCCCTGGCGCGCGGAGCGCGTCAGGGGCGGCGCAGGAGGCACCACCTCGGGGGCCCCCGCGCCGATCCAAGAAGCCCGCGCGGACCGTCGAAAGTGTATGATCATGCAACTTGACGTTCCTCTATCCAGAGCCGCCAGGTACAGTGGGGGCCCATGCCAAGAAACACCCTGCTTGCCTCCAGGGTGCCCTGGGTTTCTTGGGTCTCGATGTCTCTGCCATGGACAGCGCGTCGCTCCCACGCAAAAAATCAGGGGACGTCCTGGGGTCTCAGGGTTGGGTTTCTTGTGGAAGGTTTCTTGTGGACTGGCCTCCACTGCATCATTGGTCCCCGATCCGTCCCGGTCCGACGCTGTCCTGGCTCTGGCTCAGGGCAGCCCGCCTGCACCGGTTGGCGCAGAGTTGCAGCCGATCACCGGCGCCGCGAAGCGGCACGGATCAGTCCAGAGTGGGCGCAGGCCGCAGACCAGACTTGAGTCGGGCACGCCCTTCTACAGGATGAATCTTCAAAAGTAGTTAAAACATAGTGTTGGGACGATGTTTGACTATTTTTGATTATTTCTGTGCGCTTCTTGCGTATTTTTTCCGTCCAGAATCTGTAGGAGGACATGCCCCACCTAAGTCCAGACCTCCCTCGAGGGCCCCCTTCGGCTTGCAGCCATGAAGGTCTCGTGTGAGCCAGAGCTCTGCAGGGTTTCGGGGGCTGCGGCCTCCCCCGCTTTGCCTGCACGTGCCCAGGCACGCGCGCTTCGCCGCATGAGCCTGCACCGCCGCCTCGCTTGCTCGCTCGCCCTTCTGGGGCAACGTTCGGGGGTATGGGTTCAGGGGTAGTGCATTGAGCTCTGGCCCCCGATCGCCCATTCATCGCCGACGGGCCCGATGGCCCCACCCGGCCCAGGAACGTGCGGATTCGCTATCGAGGGCCGAACGGTTGCTGGTTGATCGGCGATGGATCGCCGATTCCAGCTCGATGTTCCCCCCCCTGAGCCAGTCCCTCTTTAATGTCGCCCCTTGTCCTTCTAACGTTGCCCGACGCCCAGAAACATGCGTGCTCGCTATCGAGGGCCTTTCGCCGATCAGTCGGCGATGCGTCGTCGATTTAAGGTCGATGTTCCGCTCCCCCCCCCCCTAGCCGATCACCTGGTGGTTTTCGGGTCGTCACTCGTGCCTCCGGCGGCCGTTCGGGGCGATTCGAGCATTCCCGGAACGTCCTCGGCGAGGCGCAGCCGCTGGAAGGCATCCCGAGGCCAGAACGCCGCCGAGAACCGACGAACACGTCCGAAGACCTCGAACCTCAAATTTCGAAATCCTCAGACCTCGAACCTCGAAGCGTTCCGCCCCGGTGGCGCCCCCTCCCTCCTGGTGCGCCGGCGACATCTTGTCAGTTTGTGCGATCTGCCTCTGGGGATGCTGCCATGACGTGGCTGGATGTTGCTGGAAATCGGACCCAGTGGAGTAACTTGGAGAGGGATTACCTTGCGCACGTGCACATCTGACCCGGGCTTGTCCCGCCCGCGCCGCTCCTAAGGGGCCCGCCTGCCGGCGGACACGCGCGCCTCGTCTCTCTCCTGGTGCGCCCCCTCCCAGAGCTCGTGCGCCGTGGGGGCCTCCGCCCGCCGGAGGAGGGCGTCGCCCTCTTCGAGTGCGCCCCCCGGGTCGCCGCGCCGCCGCGCAAGCTCTCGGAGAAGGAGGAGACGCTGTGGCCGCCTCTGCGCCCTCTGCGGATGATGATGATGATGATGATGATGATGATGATGATGATGATGATGATGCTGATGTTGATCATGACGATGATGATGTTGATGAGGATAATGATGATGCTGATCATGATGCTGATCATGGTAATGATGCTGATCATGACGATGATACTGATCATGGTGATGATGCTGATGATGATGATGATGATGCCGACAATGATGATGAAGACGATGACGATGACGATGATGACTATGTCGATGGTCAATATGATTACATATGACAATATGATGTTGACGATGATGATGTTGATACTGATACTGATGGTGACGATGATGCTTATTATGTTGAAAATGATACGATGATAATGTTGATGATGATGATTACGACGATGATGATAATGACAATGATCATGATGATGACGATGATGATGACGATGACGATGTCGATGATCATGATGGTGATGTTGATGATGATGACGATGGTGATGATGGTGGTGATGATAAGGACGATGATGACGATGACGATGCTGTTGAGGATGCTGACGATGATGATACTACTGACGATGACGATGATGATGTTGTTGATGATGATGATGGTGATGGTGACGATCATGATGATGATGACGACGATGGTGATGAGGCTGATGCTGATGCCGATGATGATGACGGTGATGATGCTGACGTTGATGTCGATGATCATAATGATGACGACCATTATGATGATGCTGCTGACGATGATGCTGATGATGCCTATGATGTAAATGATGATGGAGCTGATGACGATGATGACCACGATGATGATGACGACGATGATGATGGTGATGATGACGATGATGATGATGACGATGTCGATGAAGATGATGGCGATGATGATGATGATGATGATGATGATGATGACGATGACGATACTGATGATGATAATGATCATGATGGTGACGATCATGATGATGATGCCAATGGTGATGAGGCTGATACTGGTTGTGGAGAAGAAGATAATGATGATCACGACGATGCTTCGGATTTTGATGACGGTGATAATGGTGATTATGCTGATAATGATGGTAATGCAAATGATGATGCTGATGATGATCCTGACGGAACTGATGATGATGAATCGGATGATTATGATGCTGTTTTTGATGATGGTGATGACGATGTTGATGATGAGTTTGATGACAATGGTCATGCTGTTGATGATGATAATGGTGATGATGATGCTAATGACAATGATGCTGATGACGAGCATGATAATGACGATGTCAATGAGAATGATGACGATGAAGATGACGATGATGGTGCTGATGGTGATGATGATGCCTTTTCTGATGCTGATGATGATGCTGACCATGCTGAAGATAGTGATGACTATGATGGCGACGATGACGATGACGACGACGATGCTGATGATGATAATGATCATGGTGGTGGTGATGATGCTGCTGACGATGATGACGATGACGATGACGACGATGGCGATGACGATGACGATGAGACTGACGATGATGATGATGATGACGACGATGCCGATGATGATGATGACGACGATGATGACGATGATGATGACGGTGATGACGCTGATAATGAGGATTAAGATGATGCGGATGACCACAACGACGATGACGATGCTGATGACGACGATGCTGATGATGCCGACGGTGACGATGATGGTGACGATGATGATGGCGAGGAGATGATGATGATGCTGGTGATGATGACAATGACGAGGATGCTAATGCTGATGATGACGATTCTGATAACGACGATGATGATGATTAGTATGATGACGATGCTGGTGACGATGCCCATGATGATGGCGTTGGCGATAACGTGCTTATGATGATGCTTGCGATGGTACTGATCATGATGACGCTGCTGATGCTGCTGATTATGCTGATGCCGATGAGGATGATAATATGCTTGTGACGAATATGATGAGATTGATGATGATGCTGCTGCTGATGATGATGCCGATGGTGGTGATGATGATGATGCTGATGCTGACGATGCTGATGATGAGGACGATGACGCTGCTGCTCGATGGCGGTGACGATCATGATGCTGGTGATGATGATGATGATCACTATGATGATGCTGGTGATTATGCTGACGACGACGATGATGCTGATGACGATGGCGATGCTGACGATGATGATGATGCTGACGATGATCAGGATGATGATGATGATGATGATGAGGATGATGATGACGGTGATTCTGACGATCATGATGATGACGGTGATGGTGATGATGCTGATACTGATGCCGCTTATGATGATGATTATGATGATGATTATGATGATGATGTTGGCGATGCTGGTGATATGCTGATGATGATAGTGGTCACGGTGGGTGGTGGTAGTAATGATGATGTTGATGTTGATGTTGAGGATGATGACGCTGATGGTGATGATGACGATGCTGATGATGATGACGAGGGTGATGATGCTAAGGATGATATTGATGATCACGATGGCGATGATGATGCTGATGATGATCATGATCATTCTGATGATTCTGATGGCGATGCCGATGATTATGATTACGATGCTGATGATAATGATGGGAATGGCGATGATGAAGATGGTGATGATGCTGATCATGGTGATGATGATGATGATGATGATGATGACGACGACAATGCTGATGATGACGATGGCGATGGCGATGATGGTAATGCTGATAATGCCGATGTTTAGTTTGATGATGACGATGGCGATGACGATGCTGATGATGTTGATACTTATACTGATGGTGACGACGATGTTTATGATGCGGATGACGATACGATTATGATGTTGCTGATGCTGGTGACGGTGATGACGATGTTGCTGATGCTGCTGATGATGCTGACGATGATGATGGTGATGATGCTGATGATGGTGATAATGATGATGATGATGGTGTTGACGCTGATGATGATGATGAGGATGATGAGGATGATGATGTCGATGACGACGATGCTGATGATGCTGATGATGCTGACAGTGATGCTGCTGCTGCGGATGAGATGTTGATGCTGATGATGTTGATGCTGCTGTTGGGGTTGATGCTGATTGATGGTGATGATGCTACTACTGCTGATACTGTTGCTGATGATGATGCTGCTGATGACGATGCTGCTGCTGCTGATGATGAACATCATGATGGTGCTGAGGCTGCTGATGATGACGATTCTGATCATACTTATGCTGCTGATGATCATGGTAAGTATGATTGTGGTGACGGTGGGTGGTGGTGATAACGATAATGATGAATGATGATGATGCTGATGCTGCTGATGATGATGATGTTGAGGTTGAGGATGAGTATGAGGATGCTGATGATGATGATGATCATGATGATGATGCTGCTGATGCTAAGGATGATGATGAGGATACGGATGAAGATGAGGATGAGAACGAGGACGTGGATGAGGATGATGATGATGATGATGAGGATGATGATGATGATGAGGATGATGGTGATGGTGATGGTGATGGTGATGATGCTGATGATGATGCTGATGATGATCACGATGATGCTGCTACTGATGCTGAGGATGAGGATGAAGATGAGGATCAGGATGAGGATGAGGATGATGATGCTGACGATCATGGTGGTGATGGTGATGGTGATGATGATGGTGATAATGATGATGATGCTGATGATGATGATGCTCATGATGATTATGCTGCTGATGCTGATGCTGATGCTGATGCTGGTGATGATGCTAATGATGCTGATGATGAGGATGATGCTGCTGCTGATGCTAATGATGATTATGATGATGATGATGATCATGATGATGATGATGATGATGATGATGATGATGATGATGATGATGATGATGATGATGATGCTGATGCTGATGCTGATGCTGATGCTGATGCTGATGCTGATGATGGTGGGGGCGGTGGTGATGATGAGGATGAGGAGGAGGAGGAGGAGGAGGATGAGGATGAGGATGAGGATGCTGCCCCGGCTCGTATGTGAGCGCCCTTCCGTGCGTCTGATGAGGAGGAGGAGGTGGAGGACCATAATCAAACCAAGGCGCATCAATGATGTTGCAAGACACCCTCCCTCCAAGTTCCCTCTTCACAGGTCCCTGAAGGTATTTGTTTTCAATGCGGGTAGTGACACATTTGAAGACAACCGTCTGAGAATCCTCCATCTCGCCAAAACGCAGTTCCTGCGACTTCAGCGCTGCGGATCAACGTGACTGTTGCGTCCTGACCTTTCGAAGTCGTGCCAGAACGCCGTTCCTGGGACTTCAACACCGCGACTCAACGCGGCGGGGGCTGGGGGTGCGGCGGCGGCGGAGGTGCCAGAGGTGGCGTGAGGAGGGGTGCAGGGGTGGATTCGGCAAGTGGCCACTGCGGTGGCGGCGGCTCGGGGAGAGGAGCGTCGGTGGTTGGAGGAGAAAATGGATACTTACTGACAGTCCTGAATCGCGCCAGAGTGCCATTCCTGGGACTTCGACCGTACCAATCCTTGAAAGTTTTTGTGGCAAACTTTCAAGACGAATGTGTGCGGCGCTCAGGCGAGAGCTACATTACTGTTGCAAATTTCACGCTTCAGGATCACACATGGGAGAAATCTCAGGCAAAACGTCCGGCCCGCCCTACCGACACGTCTGCGGGTGCGACAAAGAGGTGCTATTTCTAAGGAACAGGGATGGAGGAGGAGGAGGAGGAGGAGGAGGAGAATCATGAGGAGGGGGAGGAGGAGGAGGAGGAGGAGGAGGAGGAGCAGGAGCAGGAGCAGGAGCAGGAGCAGCAGCAGCAGCAGCAGCAGCAGCAGGAGGAGGAGGAGGAGGAGGAGGATCAGGAGGAGGAGGAGGAGGAGGAGGAGGAGGAGAAGGAGCAGGAGGAGGAGCAGCAGCACTGAGCGCCGCGCGACGGGCGAGGAGGCGGACGGGAGGAGGAGTCGGAGAGCCCGTGGCGCGAGGGGCGGCGGGCCGCCGACGAGGGCCCCGCGCCCCCCCCAGGAGGAGGAGGCCCTGCAGGCGAGCGTGTCCCCGCACGCGTCCGGCGAGAGCATCAAAGGCGCCCGGAGCCGGCCCGCGGTCCCCTCCCACCCCCAAAGCCAGCCCACCCCCGGCCCTCCCCGCTCGTCCCCGCTCGTCCCCGCCTCCCTCCCGCCTCCCTCCTGCCAGCCTTCGCCCTGCTGCAGCTCCCCCTCCCTCCCCCCTCCTCGTACCTTCGCCCGATGTTGCTCCGATGGCTCCTCTCCTCCTGCTCCTCCTCCGCCCCCCCCCTCTCGTGCTCCGGCCTCCCCCGTGCAAGAGGCTGCGGAAGAGGAGAGGAGCGGGAGGGGAGGAGCCAGAGAGCAGCCACAGGTCGCGTCGACGATGGCGGGCGGCAGACCGAGGAGGATCAAGGGAGAAGGAAGAGGAGGAGGAGGAGGAGGAGGAGCGGGAGCGGGACGAGCACGGCGACGTGCTCCCCCTCGTGTGTCTCATCCTCAAGTCTTCCTCCTTCCGCTCCCTGCCTCCCCCGGGCACGCGCCCAGCACCTCGGGCAGCGCGGGGTCGAAGGCGTCCACGGACGCTGAGGCCTGAGGAGGGCCGCCGCCCTGCCTCCCCTTCTCCTCCGTCCTCCTCCCTCCTCCTCCTCCTCCTCCTCCCTCCTCCTCCTCCCTCCTCCTCCTCCCTCCTCCTCCCCCCTCCTCCTCCTCCTCCTCCTCCTCCTCCTCCTCCTCCTCCTCCTCCTCCTCCTCCTCCTCCTCCTCCTCCCTCCCCTCCTCCCTGCCTCCCCGTCTGCCCCTCCCTGCTCTCGTCCCCCCCTGTGTCCCCCCGGAGGCCTCCCGCCGCGCCTCTCTCCTCCGCGTCGGTCTCCGCGGCTGTCGGCCGGAACGGCAGGCGAGCCCCACATCAAGAGCAAGGGGAATGCCGACGCCTCCCTGGTCATCCCCTCTACTCTTTTCATGGAGGACTGCGGCGCCGCCCAGGGGGAGGATTGTGTCCCTCGTTCCTTGCGTCCGCCGGTTTGCCGGCCGCAGCAGGCCAGTCCGTCCGTGTGCCTCTGGGTCGTGGGCTGCTCCAAGCGAGTGCATTCAGAGTCCGTGCGTGTGCCTTTGGGTAGTGACAAGCGTTCAGAGTGCAGACAGACTTCCCCTGCAGCTCGCTGCACGCGTTCACAATTCACTCGCAGTTGCAGCTGGCCGCCGGCCACCCTGCTAGGCAGCCGCAGCCGCAGCTCGATGCATGCGTGCACTCCTGGCAGTTCAGCTTCCCCGGCAGCCGCCATCAGCCGCCTGCCCCCACTCGCCGGCCTGGCCGCCGAGGTGCCGCGTTCATTCGTCTTTGCGCGCCCCGCTCTGACTGGACTCGCCGTCGGCGCCTTCGCCTGCGGCCGCTGACTAAAAAGTACCCCCACCTGCCCATCCAGAAACGATGCCCAGGCGAGTTGTCTTGATCAGGCATGTTGGGAAGCTGTCACACGGGGGGGGCCCAGGGGGGGATGAGACAGTTTGTGTGGGAGTCTCTATCAGATTCGTCGTGGATGCTCGCACAGGAATCCTAGCTTTGCAGAGCCTGCGCTGGAGCGCTGACTGGGGATTGTGCAGTAGGAAGGCTGCTCACCCTGTCCCTCCCCCTCTATCTGTCTCCTCCACGACACTGCGTCCAGCGTGAAAGACTATTGCTGCATGGTGTCCTCCGGGAAGTCGTCCAAGTTGGTTTTACGTCGTGTAGTTCCAGGGGCAGCTGAGAGTGGTTGTCGCAGCGATGAGAAATCTTGTCGGCACCAGAGCAGTAGCTCTGGTCGCTCGCCGCGCCCCACTTTCGAGGCTGGAGTTCGTCAGCGAAACAGGTCATCCTCGGGGTGCGTGATGAGACAGTCTGTGTGGGAGTCTCTCTGAGGTTCATCGCTGAAGCTCGCACAGTAATCAGTAGGGTAAAATCTGATCCCTCGTCTTGCAGAGCCGTCGCTGGAGCAGGGAACTGGGCTTGTACAATTGGTAGAATGCTCACCCTTTCCTTCCGCCTCCTGTCTGTCTTCTCCACAAATCTGCGTCCAGCGAGAGTGACTATCATTGGCTGGTCACCTTCGGGTTGTCGTCCGAGATCGTTTCTCTTTCAGTAGTTTCATGAGCCGAGAGCGGTTGTCGCAGTGATGAGAACACTTGTTGGCACCAGAGCTGAGGCTCCGGTCGCTGAGCAGAACCATACTTGTTCTCCAATGTTGAGCGGCTCATGGGTCTCCAGGCAGGTGCCCGCAGCATTGCTACTGTACAGCTTCCAGGACTTTGCCAGGTGATATTTCGAATGGTGCTCGTTCCATCGCTGATTCAACCTCTTCGCGGCCCACTTTCGAGGCTGGAGTTCGTCAGCGAACCAGGTCATCATCGGGGGGCGTGATGAGTCAGTCTGTGTGGGAGTCTCTGAGGTTCATCGCTGAAGCTCGCACAGTAATCAGTAGGGTATTTGCAGGGCCGTCGCTGGAGCGCGGAATCGGGCTCTTGCAATGGGTAGAATACTCACCCGGTCCCTCCGCCTCCTGCTTGTCTTCTCCACAAATCGGCGTCCAGCGAGTGACAAATATTGGCTGGTCACCTTCGGGTGGTCGTCCGAGATCTTTTGTTTTCCTATAGTTCCATGGGCCTTGTTGGTAAGCCTTGTCGGTAAGCCTTGTTTTCCTATAGTTCCATGAGCGATTGTCGCAGTGAGGTACTGAGGCTGATGAGCTGAGGCTCCGCTCGCTGGGCAGAACCGTACTTGTTCTCCAATGTTGAGCGGCTCATGGGTCTCAATGCGGGTGCCAGCAGCATTGCTACCGTAGTGCATTTTCCAGGACCTTGCCAGGTGACATTTCGCGCCCCACTTTCGAGGCTGGAGTTCGTCAGCGAGACAGGTCATCACCAGGGGCGTGATGAGACAGTTTGTGTGGGAGTCTCTCTGAGGTTCATCGCTGAAGCTTGAACGGTAATCAGTAGGGTAAAATCTGACCCCTCGTCTTGCAGGGCCGTCGCTGGAGCGTGAAACTGGCCTTGTGCAATGGGCAGAATGCTCACCCTGTCCCTCCGCTTCCTGACTGTCTTCTCCACAAATCTGCGTCCAGCGAGAGTGACTATTATTGGCCAGTTAGCGTCGGGCCGTCGGGTGGTCGTCCGAGATCGTTTTTTTCGAGGACTTTGCCACGTGATATTTTGCACAGGGCTCGTTCCATTGCTGATTCAACCTCGTCGCGCCCCACTTTCGAGGCTGGAGTTCGTCAGCGAGACAGGTCATCATCGGGGGGCGTGATGAGACAGTCTGTGTGGGAGTCTCTCTGAGGTTCATCGCTGAAGCTCGCACAGAAATCAGTAGGGTAAAATCTGATCCCTCGTCTTGCAGGGCCGTCGCTGGAGCGCGGAATCGGGCTCTTGCAATGGGCAGACCGCTCACCCTGTCTCTCCGTCTTTTGTCTGTCTTCTCCACAAATCTGCGTCCAGCGAGAGTGACTATTATTGGCCAGTCAACTTCGGGTGGTCGTCCGAAATCGTTTCTCTTTCAGTAGTTTCATGAGCTTAGAGCGATTGTCGCAGTGATGAGAAACCGTGTTGGCACCAGAGCTGAGGCTCCGGTCGCTGAGCAGAACCATATTTGTTCTCCAATGTTGAGCGGCTCATGGGTCACCAGGCGTGTGTCCGCAGCATTGTTACCGTGCTGCAGTTTTCAGGTCTTCGGCTGCTCGTATTTCGCATGGTGCTCGTTCCATCGCTGATTGAATCTCTTCGCGGCCCACTTTCGAGGCTGGAGTTTGTCAGCGAGACAGGTCATCATCGGGGGGCGTGATGAGACAGTCTGTGTGGGAGTCTCTCTGAGATTCATCGCTGAAGCTCGCACAGTAATCAGTAGGGTAAAATCTGACCCCTCGTCTTGCAGGGCTGTCGCTGGAGCGCGGAATCGGGCTCTTGCAATGGGAAGAATACTCACCCTGCCCCTCCGCCTCAAGATTGTCTTCTCCACAAATCGGCGTCCAGCGAGTGACAAATATTGGCTGGTCACCTTCGGGTGGTCGTCCGAGATCTTTTGTTTTCCTATAGTTCCATGGGCCTTGTTGGTAAGCCTTGTCGGTAAGCCTTGTTTTCCTGTAGTTCCATGAGCGATTGTCGCAGTGAGGTACTGAGGCTGATGAGCTGAGGCTCCGCTCGCTGGGCAGAACCGTACTCGTTCTCCAATGTTGAGCGGCTCATGGGTCTCAATGCGGGTGCCAGCAGCATTGCTACCGTAGTGCATTTTCCAGGACCTTGCCAGGTGACATTTCGCGCCCCACTTTCGAGGCTGGAGTTCGTCAGCGAGACAGGTCATCACCAGGGGCGTGATGAGACAGTTTGTGTGGGAGTCTCTCCGAGGTTCATCGCTGAAGCTTGAACGGTAATCAGTAGGGTAAAATCTGACCCCTCGTCTTGCAGGGCCGTCGCTGGAGCGTGAAACTGGCCTTGTGCAATGGGCAGAATGCTCACCCTGTCCCTCCGCTTCCTGACTGTCTTCTCCACAAATCTGCGTCCAGCGAGAGTGACTATTATTGGCCCGTTAGCGTCGGGCCGTCGGGTGGTCGTCCGAGATCGTTTTTTTCGAGGACTTTGCCACGTGATATTTTGCACGGGGCTCGTTCCATTGCTGATTCAACCTCGTCGCGCCCCACTTTCGAGGCTGGAGTTCGTCAGCGAGACAGGTCATCATCGGGGGGCGTGATGAGACAGTCTGTGTGGGAGTCTCTCTGAGGTTCATCGCTGAAGCTCGCACAGAAATCAGTAGGGTAAAATCTGACCCCTCGTCTTGCAGGGCCGTCGCTGGAGCGCGGAATCGGGCTCTTGCAATGGGCAGACCGCTCACCCTGTCTCTCCGTCTTTTGTCTGTCTTCTCCACAAATCTGCGTCCAGCGAGAGTGACTATTATTGGCCAGTCAACTTCGGGTGGTCGTCCGAAATCGTTTCTCTTTCAGTAGTTTCATGAGCTTAGAGCGATTGTCGCAGTGATGAGAAACCGTGTTGGCACCAGAGCTGAGGCTCCGGTCGCTGAGCAGAACCATATTTGTTCTCCAATGTTGAGCGGCTCATGGGTCACCAGGCGTGTGTCCGCAGCATTGTTGCCGTGCTGCAGTTTTCAGGTCTTCGGCTGCTCGTATTTCGCATGGTGCTCGTTCCATCGCTGATTGAATCTCTTCGCGGCCCACTTTCGAGGCTGGAGTTTGTCAGCGAGACAGGTCATCATCGGGGGGCGTGATGAGACAGTCTGTGTGGGAGTCTCTCTGAGATTCATCGCTGAAGCTCGCACAGTAATCAGTAGGGTAAAATCTGACCCCTCGTCTTGCAGGGCTGTCGCTGGAGCGCGGAATCGGGCTCTTGCAATGGGAAGAATACTCACCCTGCCCCTCCGCCTCAAGATTGTCTTCTCCACAAATCTGCGTCCAGCGAGAGTGTCTATTATTGGCCGGTCACCTTCGGGTGGTCGTCCGAGATCATTTTTTCTATAGTTCCATGGGCCACGAGCGATTGTCGCAGTGATGAGAAACCGCGTTGGCACCAGAGCTGAGGCTGCAGTCGCTGAGCAGAACCATACTTGTTCTCCAATGTTGAGCGGCTCATGGGCTATAAACGGCAGACACCTGAGCAGCACTTCCACAGCAAGGATGCTAATAATATGAGAAGAATAGAAAAATGTGCATGTGCATATATAATATAATAATACGTTTAGGCAATTTCCCCGGGGAGAAGGTAGGGCATGACTCTCCACAGCCTGGGCTCCCCCGGCGAACCTGCGGTTCACTCCTCCCTTCCTCCTCCGTTGCCCGGGGGATGTGGCGCCCGTGTTCCTGTTGCCCCTCCTTTCGTTGCTCGTGCTTTCGCCCCGCAGCCACTTGGGCTCCGTTGGCTGATGTGGGAGCCTTCGGAGCCTTCGGACCCTGATTCTGCAGGCGAGGCCCGCCCGGGAAAGGGGGGGCACCGCAACAGGGAGGGGGGGAACGGCCAGGAAGTGAAAGATGTAGGGAAAGGGAGGCGAGGGGGGAAGGTATGGATAAGGAGGAAAGGGAAAGGAAGAGTGGCTTTGAGGGGAGGGATTACCCCAGCGCGACCCTACTTAGGAGTCGGACCCCCTACGAAAGCAGCATTAGTAGTAACAGTAAAGTTCACT